CAGCGGGAGCAAACCGTCCGTGCTACGTACTGGAACGGACGGTCCACGTGCATTTCTGGACCGTCCGTTCTGGGCTTCAGTTTTTTCGAAATTAAACCGAAATTAAACCGAGTTAGGGTTAAATCACCTTATAAGAAGGAGATTAAAAACCCTAACTCGAAAGAGACGAAAAGAGCCGACTTTTGACAGAAAAGAGAGAGTCTTTGGAGATCCAAAAACGAGTTCTAAGTCTCGAGATTTCTCGGTGCACATATCGAATAGAGATTCGAGTCCTAGCAGACAAGTTCCAACCGTTGGAATCCATCCCGTGGTGTGGAATACGTGTAGAGGGCGAGGTATTCTTTCTGCCTTTCCTGAACAGACGTGTTCTTCGATTGATACAGGCCCCGGATTGATTGAGGTAAGCGTTCTAACGTTTCTACGATTCATTATAAGCATGGTTCTAGGGTTTATTAATTTTTTGTTTTATATCCGCTGCGCAAACCCTAGAATCGATCTCTTAGGAATAGGATTCGCTCTAGAGATCCCAGAAAACCCAACAGTGGTATCAGAGCCTTATTGCTCTGTTTTGATTTCGTAGAACCCGATCACGCACGTTTTAGGATTTGAATTGTTTGAATCCATGTTTGCTTTGATTTCTATGCATGTTTGATGATTGAATCTAGTGTAGATTGCATGTTTCATGTTGCATAGAGTGCAGGAGTTCGAATTTTGGGTTCACAGGAGAATTTGGATCAGTTTCGGGTCTGAACGGGACTAAGAACGCGAAAAACGTGATCTGATCACGTGATCTAATCACGTGACCAAACCCTAGACTGTCCGTTCTGGTTTACCAGACCGGACTGACCATGGGTGACAGACTGAGGATAGACCGAAAGGTCTAGACCGTCTGTTCTGAGACAGTGGACCGTTCGTTCCAGAGTGTCTGGACCGTCCGGTCTGCAGAAACACGTGGTCCATCCGTTCTCATACGTAGACCGTCCGTTCTACATCCAGAACGGATTGTTCGAGACCCAGACTTCGAAATTTTTTCGTTTTCTGATCCGATTGTGCAATCGTTGCTTAATCTGATCAACTGTGACTCAAATATGTTGGGTTTCCTGGGATCTCATGAGCGAATCTAATTCCTAAGAGATCGATTCTAGGGTTGTGCAGCGGAAGTAAAACAAAAATTTTATAAAACCCTAGAACCATGCTGTTATTGAAAACGTAGAAACGTTAGAACGCTTACCTCAATCGATCCGGGGCCTGTATCAACTGAAGAATTCGTCCGATCACTTAGGGAGGAAGATTACCTCGCCCTCTACACGTATCCACACCTCGGGATGGATTCCAACGATTGGAACTTGTCTGCTAG